TCTTGTACCTGCCTGGGCGGGCGGGCTATAAACACGCAATGTAAACATCTCGTTATTTGGGCAGGGCAGGTCAGGCTCCTACAGCATGTCCTCTGGGTAATCCTGACTCGCCTTCACCAACCGGCCGGACCGGTTCTGCGCGGCGGTAACCGCTGTGTGACTCCCGGACAGATCTCAGGATTAGTGCTGCTTGGGGAGGCTGCCTGTCAGCGGCACTTTGTTTTCTCTCTGATCTGTCTCCATCCTGCAGAGGTAGCGCCATCTGATGCAGTCGGTGTGTATTGCACAATTCCGGCGCTTCTGTGCCGCTCCCCGCCATCTCCTGTTTGCGTGAAGAGCGATCCCAAACTATCAGAATACGTTACATTCTTTTTCATCAAATAATTGTTTTACATTTTCCTTTTTTTTCCCCATCAGAGGTTTTCAGACTCATAAAGATACTTCTGTCTGCATGCACTCGCTCCAGCGCCAGATGCAGGTTATTGCAGCTTCCCCATGAACATGGTGAATCAAACTGGTGCAATGTGTGTCAGAGCGGCCACTTGTAGACTCCATCAGGGGCCACAGGGGACAGATTAGCCTGATTCATGCACCTTCAGACCTCAGATCGCCTCGATTCTGCGCCTTGAGACCTCAGATCGCCTCGATTCTGCACCTTCAGACCTCAGATCGCCTTGATTCTGCGCCTTCAGACCTCAGATCTCCTCGATTCTGCACCTTGAGACCTCAGATCGCCTCGATTCTGCACCTTGAGACCTCAGATCTCCTCGATTCTGCGCCTTCAGACCTCAGATCTCCTCGATTCTTCTGCGCCTTCAGACCTCAGATCTCCTCGATTCTGCACCTTCAGACCTCAGATCTCCTCGATTCTGCACCTTCAGACCTCAGATCGCCTCGATTCTGCACCTTGAGACCTCAGATCGCCTCGATTCCTCACCTTCAGACCTCAGATCGCCTCGATTCTGCACCTTGAGACCTCAGATCGCCTCGATTCTGCGCCTTCAGACCTCAGATCGCCTCGATTCTGCACCTTCAGACCTCAGATCGCCTCGATTCTGCACCTTGAGACCTCAGATCGCCTCGATTCTGCACCATGAGACCTCAGATCGCCTCGATTCTGCACCTTGAGACCTCAGATCGCCTCGATTCTGCACCTTGAGACCTCAGATCGCCTCGATTCTGCACCTTGAGACCTCAGATCGCCTCGATTCTGCACCTTGAGACCTCAGATCGCCTCGATTCTGCACCTTGAGACCTCAGATCTCCTCGATTCTGCGCCTTCAGACCTCAGATCTCCTCGATTCTGCGCCTTCAGACCTCAGATCTCCTCGATTCTGCGCCTTCAGACCTCAGATCTCCTCGATTCTGCACCTTCAGACCTCAGATCTCCTCGATTCTGCACCTTCAGACCTCAGATCGCCTCGATTCTGCACCTTGAGACCTCAGATCGCCTCGATTCCTCACCTTCAGACCTCAGATCGCCTCGATTCTGCACCTTGAGACCTCAGATCGCCTCGATTCTGCGCCTTCAGACCTCAGATCTCCTCGATTCTGCGCCTTCAGACCTCAGGTCGCCTCGATTCTGCACCTTGAGACCTCAGATCGCCTCGATTCTGCACCATGAGACCTCAGATCGCCTCGATTCTGCACCTTGAGACCTCAGATCGCCTCGATTCTGCACCTTGAGACCTCAGATCGCCTCGATTCTGCACCTTGAGACCTCAGATTGCCTCGATTCTGCACCTTGAGACCTCAGATCGCCTCGATTCTGCACCTTGAGACCTCAGATCTCCTCGATTCTGCGCCTTCAGACCTCAGATCTCCTCGATTCTGCGCCTTCAGACCTCAGATCTCCTCGATTCTGCGCCTTCAGACCTCAGATCTCCTCGATTCTGCGCCTTCAGACCTCAGATCTCCTCGATTCTGCACCTTCAGACCTCAGATCTCCTCGATTCTGCACCTTCAGACCTCAGATCGCCTCGATTCTGCACCTTGAGACCTCAGATCGCCTCGATTCCTCACCTTCAGACCTCAGATCGCCTCGATTCTGCACCTTGAGACCTCAGATCGCCTCGATTCTGCGCCTTCAGACCTCAGATCTCCTCGATTCTGCGCCTTCAGACCTCAGGTCGCCTCGATTCTGCGCCTTCAGACCTCAGATCGCCTCGATTCTGCACCATGAGACCTCAGATCGCCTCGATTCTGCACCTTGAGACCTCAGATCGCCTCGATTCTGCACCTTGAGACCTCAGATCGCCTCGATTCTGCACCTTGAGACCTCAGATCGCCTTGATTCTGCACCTTGAGACCTCAGATCTCCTCGGCCCCCCGGTTTTCCGCCCCCTCAGCCGGCCCCCCGGTTTCCGCCCCCCCTCAGCCGGCCCCCCGGTTTCCGCCCTTTCAGCCGGCCCCCCGGTTTCCGCCCCCTCAGCTGGCCCCCCGGTTTTCCGCCCCCTCAGCCGGCCCCCCGGTTTTCCGCCCCCTCATCACTAGTGCATTGAGGCTGTTTTAATGGTTATCATTGGGGTCATAGAGGCTCTTGTGGGGTCTCACCAAACAGAAGTCCCCCCCATTTTGTCCACAGGCCAGAAATTGCTAGTAGTTGACACAAAAATACACTAAATCATTTGTTCTTTTTCAGGCGCTCCATTTAACGCCTTCGGGGCAAAAACATGCAAATTGGCCTGAAAAAAGAGCTCCTGTACTTTTTCGCATGACAAGCAGCAGAATGAGGTTCTGGTGGGAATGAACTCCATTGAATATAATGGGAACCTTCATGCCGAACGTTGTTGTGCAGCTAATCACAGGAGTGCGAATGGGGGCTTCCCCAGGCCCCCCCCCCCCCCAGCTTCCCCTTCAAGTGATTAGACTTCAGCTTTGTAATATTCATCCACTTTTTACAGTTTTTTTTAAATTTTTATGACCTGAAGAATAAAATATTAGCGAAATTACCTAAATATAGCAAAGTGCTGAAAAAAAGAAAAATCGCTACAATTCGTTTTCTTTCTTCGGGGTCTATAGATTGTAAATTCTGAAAAGCGTTGATCTGAAAGTTTCCGATTGTATCCTCTCCGCCAGTCAAAGGTGCCGGTTGTGTCGTGTTCCTGCGCCGACCACGGGGCGACCATTATGGCGTGTAACGGCGCAAAGATGCATTTGTTGTAAAGCGCGTACCGCGCTGTTGGGTCGGTCTACACGTCCTGCGATCGGTGAGTGCCGAGATCTTTCTGCATCTGCTGGTTCTCCTCTTGTTGGAAGTGTCAGACTCCTCTCCGGCCCCAGGAGATCGCCCCTCGTCACCGTCCTTGTAGTCTAGCCTGTGACACCGTGAGATGCCCCCCTCCACCTCCCAAGGGGGCCAATTATCCGCTCACCAGATGTGCCAGTCACCTGATGTCACCGGAATTCCCGACCCTCCAGCGCAACGTCCTCCCCGTGTGTGACAATCGTGTCCCCCGTGTGTTGGTTTTCATCAAATATCGCTCTGCGGGGGGGGGGGGGGGGGGGGGCATCCAGAGATTAGAGGGATCAGTGACAGTTGGGAGCCAGCTGGAGATAAATAAAAGGGGTCTCTGACCGGCTGAGAACATCATTTACATAGAAAAAGAGAAAAAATGCCACATTTCTGCCATCTGATTGCATCAAATTTTTAACAATTCTTTTTTTTTTTTTTTTTTTAACTACTTCCAGTCCGGACGCTTCCCCCCCCCCCCCTTCCAGTCCGGACGCTTCCACTTTTCCCCCCCCCCCCCTTCCAGTCCGGACGCTTCCCCCCCCCCTTCCAGTCCGGACGCTTTCCCCCCCCTTCCAGTCCGGACGCTTCCCCCCCCCCCCTTCCAGTCCGGACGCTTTCCCCCCCCCCTTCCAGTCCGGACGCTTTCCCCCCCCCCCTTCCAGTCCGGACGCTTTCCCCCCCCTTCCAGTCCGGACGCTTTCCCCCCCCCCCTTCCAGTCCGGACGCTTTCCCCCCCCCTTCCAGTCCGGACGCTTTCCCCCCCCCTTCCAGTCCGGACGCTTTCCCCCCCCCTTCCAGTCCGGACGCTTTCCTCCCCCCTCCTGTCCGGACGCTTTCACCCCCCCTTCCTGTCCGGACGCTTTCACCCCCCCTTCCTGTCCGGACGCTTCCCCCCCCCCTTCCAGTCCAGACGCTTTCCCCCCCTTCCAGTCCGGACGCTTTCCCCCCCTTCCAGTCCGGACGCTTTCCCCCCCTTCCAGTCCGGACGCTTTTCCCCCCCCCCCCCCTTCCAGTCCGGACGCTTTCCCCCCCCTTCCAGTCTGGACGCTTTCCCCCCTCCCCCCTTCCAGTCTGGACGCTTTCCCCCTCCCCCCTTCCAGTCTGGACGCTTTCCCCCTCCCCCCTTCCAGTCTGGACGCTTTCCCCCTCCCCCCTTCCAGTCTGGACGCTTCCCCCCCTTCCAGTCCGGACGCTTTCCCCCCCCTTCCAGTCCGGACGCTTTCCCCCCCCCCCCCTTCCAGTCCGGACGAAAAATCGTTTGAAAGTCGAACCATGTATGGCCGGCATTTCTTTCCATTTTGGTAATTGATAAAAATAAGTTATGGACACTTCGATTTCTGAAACCGTTCTCCATTTACAGCATTCGTGTCACACCTGCCTAAGACTTTTGCACAGTACTGTATATAATCTAAAAAAAAAAACCAACAAAGAAAAAAAAAACAAAACACCACCATATAATATATATAGTATGAGATGTACGTAATACAAGAACACCACCACAGTGTAAGAGATCTATAATATATATCACGTAGAACCCAAATAATATCAATTACAGCTAATATAAAACACAACATATATAATATAACCCCCCCGCAACGTATTCTTTATATGTTTACACCGCGTTCTTCTATTCTGATATGTAGTATATAGGAACACGATCACAGAGTAACATACACTATATAGCCAAAACTATTGGGCCCGCCCTCCATATCATGTGATTCAGGTGTTCCAATCCCCTCCATATCATGTGATTCAGGTGTTCCAATCCCCTCCATATCATGTAATTCAGGTGTTCCAATCCCCTCCCAATCATGTGATTCAGGTGTTCCAATCCCCTCCCAATCATGTGATTCTGGTGTTCCAATCCCCTCCATATCATGTGATTCAGGTGTTCCAATCCCCTCCATATCATGTGATTCAGGTGTTCCAATCCCCTCCATATCATGTGATTCAGGTGTTCCAATCCCCTCCATATCATGTGATTCAGGTGTTCCAATCCCCTCCCAATCATGTGATTCAGGTGTTCCAATCCCCTCCCAATCATGTGATTCAGGTGTTCCAATCCCCTCCCAATCATGTGATTCAGGTGTTCCAATCCCCTCCCAATCATGTGATTCTGGTGTTCCAATCCCCTCCCAATCATGTGATTCAGGTGTTCCAATCCCTTCCCAATCATGTGATTCAGGTGTTCCAGTCCCCTCCATATCATGTGATTCAGGTGCTCCAATCCCCTCCATGGACACAGGTGTATACAATCCATCCCCTAGGCATGCAGACGGCTTCTACAAACATTGGTGAAAGAATGGGTCGCTCTCAGGAGCTCAGTGACTCCAAGCGTGGTCCCGTGATAGGTGGCCACCTGGGCAATAAGTCCATCCGTGACATTTCCTGGCTACTAAATATTCCACGCTCAACTGTTAGTGGGATTATAACAAAGTGGAAGCAACTGGGAACAACAGCCACTCAGCCACCAAGTGGTAGGCCACGTCACATGACAGGGCGGGGTCAGCGCATGCTGAAGCGCACAGTGCGCAGAAGTCGCCAACTGTCTGCAGAGTCAATAGCTAAAGACCTCCAAACTTGGTGTGGCCTTCAGATTAGCCCAACAACAGTGCGTAGAGAGCTTCATGGAATGGGTTTCCATGGCCGAGCAGCTGCATCCAAGCCTTCCATCACCAAGTGCAATGCAAAGCGTCAGGTGCTGTGGTGTAAAGCACGCCGCCACTGGACTCTAGAGCAGAGGAGACGTGTTCTCTGGAGTGACTAATCACACTTCTCTGTTTGCCAATCTGATGGACGTGTCTGGGTTTGGCGGTGGCCAGGAGAACGGTACTTGCCTGACTGCATTGTGCCAAGTGTAAAGTTTGGTGGAGGGGGGATTATGGTGTGGGGGGGTTTTCTCAGGGGTTGGGCTTGGCCCCCTAGTTCCAGTGAAGGGAACTCTTAAGGCAACATTTTGGACAATTTCATGCCCCCAACTTTGTGGGAGGAGTTTGGGGATGGCCCCTTCCTGTTCCAACATGACTGCCCCCCAGTGCACAAAGCAAGGTCCATAAAGACATGGAGGAGCCAGTTTGGGGTGGAGGAACTTGACTGTCCTGCACAGAGTCCTGACCTCAACCCCATAGAACACCTTTGGGATGAATTAGAGCGGAGACTGCGAGCCAGGCCTCCTCCCCCGACATCAGTGCCTGACCTGACAAATGTGCTTCTGGAAGAATGGTCCAACCTTCCCATAGACACCCTCCTAAACCTTGTGGACGGCCTTCCCAGAAGAGTTGAAGCTGTTATAGCTGCAAAGGGCGGGGCCAACTCAATATTGAACCCTACGGACTAAGACTGGGGGGCCATTAAAGGTCATGTGTGTGGGGGAAAGGGCGGGGCCAACTCAATATTGAACCCTACGGACTAAGACTGGGGGGCCATTAAAGGTCATGTGTGTGGAAAGGGCGGGGCCAACTCAATATTGAACCCTACGGACTAAGACTGGGGGGCCATTAAAGGTCATGTGTGTGGAAAGGGCGGGGCCAACTCAATATTGAACCCTACGGACTAAGACTGGGGGGCCATTAAAGGTCATGTGTGTGGAAAGGGCGGGGCCAACTCAATATTGAACCCTACGGACTAAGACTGGGGGGCCATTAAAGGTCATGTGCGTGGAAAGGGCGGGGGCCAACTCAATATTGAACCCTACGGACTAAGACTGGGGGGCCATTAAAGGTCATGTGTGTGGGGGAAAGGGCGGGGCCAACTCAATATTGAACCCTACGGACTAAGACTGGGGGGCCATTAAAGGTCATGTGTGTGGAAAGGCCAGCGGCCCAATACTGTGGGCAATATAGTATATGTGTGTATATAAATAAATATATGTATATATATATATAGATATATATATATATGTTATAATAAGAAATGTGCGGTTTGTTTCGTTCTGAATTTTTAGTTATTCGTAGATTCGGATGTATCTGGTTTCCTGAATTATTATAATAACGAATTTAAACAAATACGAAATAACACACCAAAATTTTGTTCAAAAATCGAATTCGAAAACAAGAATAGAATAAAATAGATTAGGTAATAAAGGAACAGAAAAGAGTAGAACTGAATAGAATAGAAAAGAATAGAAAAGAAAATAATAAAATAAAATAGAAAATTAGAGTGGAATAGAATAAAATAGAAAAAAAAAGGAATAGAACAGAATATAATTGAATAGAAAAGAAAAAAGAATAGAATAGAAAGTTAAAAGAATAGACAAGAATAGAGTAAAACAAATAGAATAGAAAAAAAAAAAATATTAAAATAGAATATAACTGTTTTCTGAAATTTGAATAGAATAAATTAGAATAGAAAAGAATAGAATAGAAAAAAACAATAGAAGAAAATATAAAGAATATAACCATCTTCTGAAATTCAATTGTTGAATAGAATAGGTTAGAATAGAACAGAAAAGAAAAAAACAATAGAACAAAATGAAATAGAATATAACTGTCTTCTGAAATTCAAATTTTGAATAGAATAAATTAGAATAGAATAGAAAATAACAGAATAGAGAAAAAAACAGTAGAACAAAATACAAAGAATATAACGTATTCTGAAATTTGAATTTGGAATAGAATACATTTAGATTAGATTAGAATGGAAAAGAAAAAACAATAGAATAAAATAGAATATAACAGGCTTCCAAAATTTGAATTTTAAATAGAATACATTAGAATAGAATAGAATAGAAAATAAAAGAATAAAACAGGAAAGAATAAAAAAAGTCAGTAGAATCAAATAGAATATAACCGTCCTTCTGAAACTCGAATTTCGAATAGAATAAATTGAAATGCCGATTCGACCGTATTTGGAAAATTCGAATTTAATTAAATTTGACCAAATTTGGGTAAATTCGAATCAAATTCGACTAAACAATACAAATTCCGAAAACAAATTTAACAAAAACGAAATTATTAAAATAAATCGAAACAAAATAAATTTTTTTACTATAAAAACACCATCACTGTGTGCCGGGGAACCTCCTTTCCAGGTCTGTAGACTGTTGTGAACATAGGCCCCCCCCCCCCCCCCCCCGTTCACCCAGTGGAATCTTCTGATACCCCTTAGACAGCATTTTGGGAACCCCCTCAGAGACCTGCCTGAGGTCTGGGTGGGGGGATTCCCATAATGGAGACTCTTCCCCCCACATTACAGATACATATTGTAGGCATGGGGGAGGGATGATGACTGGCAAGAGGCTGCAGTCCTGGCTTGGCTTCTTCAGACCTGAATCGGGAACATCAATGACTGGATATCTGGAGGTGTGTTGAGGACTTTGAACGGTTGGTGGATCCGTGGTGTGGTGTTACGAGGTGGCGTGGTTTGCATGTGGTGGTGGGCCGCGGGTGATCTCGGCTTCCTGTGATCCCGGCGTGGTGTCATTGGATGTGGAATGGTGGTGGTTGGTCTTCCCGAGTCACCAAGTCAGTGATTTGTCTTCTGTTTGCGGTTTAGGTCATCGACTCCGATTCCGATTCCATCACAGTTAACGCCATCGGCGTTCTGACCTCCATCATGAGGAATTCGCCGTCTGCCAAGGTGAGACCCCGTCAGCTGCATGTGTGCAAATCCGCAATCCCATCCCAACACAGCTTGACTGGGTTCCCATACGTTGGTTTGTGTCTCTGCCCCTCCCACAATGGGGAGATTTCCCTGCAGTAGTTGGTGTCTCTGCCCCTCCCACAATGGGGAGATTTCCCTGCAGTAGTTGGTGTCTCTGCCCCTCCCACAATGGGGAGATTTCCTGCAGTAGTTTGTGTCCCTGCCCCTCCCACAATGGGGAGATTTCCCTGCAGTAGTTTGTCTCTGCCCCTCCCACAATGGGGAGATTTCCCCGCAGTAGTTTGTGTCTCTGCCCCTCCCATAATGAGGAGATTTCCCTGCAGTAGTTTGTGTCTCTGCCCCTCCCACAATGGGGAGATTTCCCTGCAGTAGTTGTGTCTCTGCCCCTCCCACAATGATATTTCCCCCCCAGTAGTTTGGGTCTCTGCCCCTCCCACAATGGGGAGATTTCTCTGCAGTAGTTTGTGTCTCTGCCCCTCCCACAATGGGGAGATTTCCCTCAATAGTTTGTGTCTCTGCCCCTCCCACAATGGGGAGATTTCCCTGCAGTAGTTGGTGTCTCTGCCCCTCCCACAATGGGGAGATTTCCCTGCAGTAGTTTGTGTCTCTGCCCCTCCCACAATGGGGAGATTTCCCTGCAGTAGTTTGTCTCTGCCCCTCCCACAATGGGTAGATTTCCCCGCAGTAGTTTCTGTCTCTGCCCCTCCCACAATGGGGAGATTTCCCTGCAGTAGTTTTGTGTCTCTGCCCCTCCCACAATGGGGAGATTTCCCTGCAGTAGTTTCTGTCTCTGCCCCTCCCACAATGGGGAGATTTCCCTGCAGTAGTTTGTGTGTCTGCCCCTCCCACAATGGAGAGATTTCCCTGCAGTAGTTGTGTCTCTGCCCCTCCCACAATGATATTTCCCTCCAGTAGTTGTGTCTCTGCCCCTCCCACAATGATATTTCCCCCCCAGTAGTTTGTGTCTCTGCCCCACCCACAATGGGGAGATTTCTCTGCAGTAGTTTGTGTCTCTGCCCCTCCCACAATGGGGAGATTTCCCTGCAGTAGTTGGTGTCTCTGAACCTCCCACAATGGGGAGATTTCCCTGCAGTAGTTGTCTCTGCCCCTCCTACAATGGGGAGATTTCCCCCAGTAGTTTGTGTCTCTGCCCCTCCCACAATGGGGTGATTTCCTGCGGTAGTTTGTGTCCATAGCCCTCTTACAAAACCATAATGTTGGTGACACCTTCTAACATGGGGGGAGGGGGTGACACCATCCTTTGTCTTTGTGACGCTCGCAGTCATTGGGTAGAATTGGAGAGCAGATCATTGTAACCTTCTCCATTGTAGGAAGTCTTCAAGGAGCGGATTGGCTACCCTCATCTCTACGAGGTTCTGAAGAGCCGCAGTCAGCCAACCAGGAGCCTCCTCCAGCAGCTACTGAGCATGGTAATCATTTGGGGAGTTATTGGAGATCATATTGTACAACACGGGAGTGACACCGGCTGTCGTATCCGACCTCGAAGGATGTGAATCACCCATTGGTTGGTTGACTGACAGATTGACGGATTGACTCACTGACAGGTTGATTGACATCAATTGACTGACTGATTGATTGTCTGGTTGACTGAGTGACTGACGGACGGATTGACTGACGGACGGATTGACTGACGGACGGATGGGTCGACTGACTGATTGGTTGACTGACTGGTTGACGGATTGACTCACTGACAGGTTGATTGACCTCAATTGACTGACTGACGGACGGATTGACTGACTGACGGACGGATTGACTGACGGATTGACGGACGGACTGACGGATTGACGGACGGACTGACGGACGGACTGACGGACGGACGGACTGACGGATTGACTGACGGATTGACTGACGGATTGACTGACGGACGGACTGACGGACGGACTGACGGACGGATTGACTGACGGATTGACTGACGGATTGACGGACGGACTGACGGACGAATTGACTGACGGACGGACGGATTGACTGACGGACGGATTGACTGACGGACGAATTGACTGACGGACTGACGGACGAATTGACTGATGGACGGACGGATTGACTGACGGACGGACGGATTGACGGACGGACGGATTGACGGACGGACGGATTGACGGACGGACGGATTGACGGACGGACGGATTGACGGACGGACGGATTGACGGACGGACGGATTGACTGACTGACGGATTGATTGACGGACGGATTGACTGACGGATTGACGGACGGACGGATTGACGGACGGACGGATTGACGGACGGACGGATTGACGGACGGACGGATTGACGGACGGACGGACGGATTGACGGACGGACGGACTGACGGACGGACGGATTGACGGACGGACGGACTGACGGACGGACGGACGGATTGACGGACGGATTGACTGACGGACGGGTGGATGGGTTGACTGACTGACGGATTGACTGTTGGACAGATTGACTGACGGACAGACGGACGGACTGACTGACGAATTGACTGACGGACAGACGGGTTGACGGACGGACGGGTTGACTGACGGACGGACGGGTTGACTGACGGACGGACGGGTTGACTGACGGACGGACGGGTTGACTGACGGACGGACGGGTTGACTGACGGACGGACGGGTTGACTGACGGACGGACGGGTTGACTGACGGACGGACGGACGGACGGACTGACGGACGGACGGATTGACGGATTGCCTGACGGACGGACGGATTGACTGACTGACGGATGGATTGACGGACAGACGGACGGACGGGTTGACTGACTGACGGAAGGATTGACTGACGGATTGACGGATTGACCGACGGACGGATTGACTGACGGACGGATTGACTGACGGACGGATTGACGGACGGACGGATTGACGGACGGGACGGACGGATTGACGGACGGACGGATTGACTGACGGACGGATTGACTGACGGACGGATTGACTGACGGACGGATTGACTGACGGACGGATTGACTGACGGACGGATTGACTGACGGACGGATTGACTGACGGACGGATTGACTGACGGACGGATTGACTGACGGACGGACGGATTGACTGACTGACGGACTAACTGACTGACGGACTAACTGACTGACGGACTAACTGACTGACGGACTGACTGACTGACGGACTGACTGACTGACGGACTGACTGACTGACGGACTGACTGACTGACGGACTGACTGACTGACGGACTGACTGACTGACGGACTGACTGACTGACTGACGGACTGACTGACTGACTGACTGACTGACTGACGGACTGACTGACGGACTGACTGACGGACGGATTGACTGACGGACGAACGGACGGATGGGTTGACTGACTGACGGATTGACTGTTGGACAGATTGACTGACGGACAGACGGACGGACTGACTGACGAATTGACTGACGGACGGACGGGTTGACGGACGGACGGGTTGACTGACGGACGGACGGGTTGACTGACGGACGGACGGGTTGACTGACGGACGGACGGGTTGACTGACGGACGGACGGGTTGACTGACGGACGGACGGGTTGACGGACGGACGGACGGACGGGTTGACTGACGGACGGACGGACTGACGGACGGACGGATTGACGGACGGATTGACGGATTGCCTGACGGACGGACGGATTGACGGACGGATTGACGGATTGCCTGACGGACGGACGGATTGACTGACTGACGGATGGATTGACGGACAGACGGACGGACGGGTTGACTGACTGACGGAAGGATTGACTGACGGATTGACGGATTGACCGACGGACGGATTGACTGACGGACGGATTGACGGACGGACGGATTGACGGACGGACGGATTGACGGACGGACGGATTGACGGACGGACGGATTGACGGACGGACGGATTGACTGACGGACGGATTGACTGACGGACGGATTGACTGACGGACGGATTGACTGACGGACGGATTGACTGACGGACGGATTGACTGACGGACGGATTGACGGACTGACTGACTGACTGACTGACGGACTGACTGACTGACTGACGGACTGACTGACGGACGGGTTGACTGACTGATTGGTTGACTGACTGATTGGTTGACTGACTGGTTGACTGTATGATTGATTGGTTGACTGACTGACAGATCTATTGATTGTCTGGTTGACTGACTGATTGGTTGACTGACTGACATTAAAGACAGACGTGGACGTGGTTTTGCGTTGTCTTTGCAGATCTGGTGTTCTAGAGAAATGACATCCATTACTGTACTCAGAGTGGGCGGGGCTTGTGCTGGCCCACAATGCCTCTTTCTCTCAATTAGTAAAAGTCAATGAAGATAACACACCGCTCCAAGCGCCCATGTCCTCTGCGTTGTCTCAGGTGCTTGCCCCGGAGCGCATCCTCACTCTATGCACTGCGTATCACAGGAATGATTGTCCACGTGAGCCGGTGATGTACTGCTCTTCCCTTTCTTTTATATGAAAGAACGTATCCCCGGCATCCCTTTAGATGTGCATGCTCCTCCCTGCTTCCTATTTGCCCCTGCAGTCTGCTGATCGGCGGAGTTTACACTAGCGTGCGAATTAGGCGTTTCATTGGAGTTTTTAGGCCCCACGAATGCCTGTCAGTTAATGTGCATTGCAGCCGATGGTGGTGTTCACACGGTTGCGTTGGTGTTGCGGCACACCAAAATTTAACAGGCGAAAATGTATCTAGCGTTCAGCTTCCCATATGTCTGTATTGATGCAGGGCTGGGACAAGGGGTGGGCAAGAGGGGCAGCTGCCTAGGGAGCTTGATGTCATATTGTGAAAATGAGCCCTCTGAATGTAATGGATCGACTGATCAGCAGATTGCACAGTTATAGCCTGCAGCACCCAAAGGACAGCGAGGAGGCACGTCTAAAGGGATAGCGGGGTTGTGTTCTTTCATTAAGAAAGGACCAAGCTCTGTCAAGACCAGGAGACTGACCCATTAACGGCGTCACTTTTTGATGAGTTCTTTGAAAATTTTTAATTGCGTGTTGATGTGGGGGGGCAGTGCCCAGAGCAAGGATACCAAGCTGTAAACCACCCCCCCTCCCCCGTTAGGGGATCTTGCAGCCAGCAGTCACTCGTCGCTACTCCTGTCGCTGATCTCTGCTCCTGTCGCTGATCTCTGCTCCTGTCGCTGATCTCTGCTCCTGTCGCTGATCTCTGCTCCTGTCGCTGATCTCTCCTCCTGTCGCTGATCTCTCCTCCTGTCGCTGATCTCTACTCCTGTCGCTGATCTCTACTCCTGTCGCTGATCTCTACTCCTGTCGCTGATCTCTACTCCTGTCGCTGATTGCTGCTCCTGTCGCTGCTCCTGTCGCTGATTGCTGCTCCTGTCGCTGCTGCTGTCGCTGATTGCTGCTCCTGTCGCTGATTGCTGCTCCTGTCGCTGCTGCTGTCGCTGATCGCTGCTCCTGTCACTGATCGCTGCTCCTGTCGCTGATCGCTGCTCCTGTCGCTGCTCGCTGCTCCTGTTGCTGATCTCCACTCCTGTCGCTGATCGCTGCTCCTGTTGCTGATCTCCACTCCTGTCGCTGATCGCTGGTCCTGACGCTGATCGCTTCTCCTGTCCAGGGGCGGACTGACCTTTCGAGCACTCAGGCACTGCCCGAAGACCCGGGGCAGTAGGGGGCCTCATGGGATGCACCTGGTACCTTTTATTGGCTTTTTGGGTGTGGGCGAGGACCCGGGGCCCCATGAGTTGTCAGTCCGCCCCAGCTCCTGTCGCTGATCTCTACTCCTGTCGCTGATCTCTACTCCTGTCGCTGATCTCTACTCCTGTCGCTGCTCCTGTCGCTGATCGCTGCTCCTGTCGCTGATCGCTGCTCCTGTCGCTGCTCCTGTCGCTGATTGCTGCTCCTGTCGCTGATTGCTGCTCCTGTCGCTGATTGCTGCTCCTGTCGCTGATTGCTGCTCCTGTCGCTGATTGCTGCTCCTGTCGCTGATTGCTGCTCCTGTCGCTGCTCGCTGCTCCTGTTGCTGATCTCCACTCCTGTCGCTGATCGCTGGTCCTGACGCTGATCGCTACTCCTGTCCAGGGGCGGACTGACCTTTCGAGCACTCAGGCACTGCCCGAAGACCCGGGGCAGTAGGGGGCCTCATGGGATGCACCTGGTACCTTTTATTGGCTTTTTGGGTGTGGGCGAGGACCCGGGGCCCCATGAGTTGTCAGTCCGCCCCAGCTCCTGTCACTGATCCCTACTCCTGTCGCTGTTCTCTACTCCTGTCGACAATCCCTACACCTGTCGCCGACCGCTACTCCTGTCAGCCTTGCAGCAGAGGGAAGGCGCCCCCCATCCCTACGGTAAACCATTGCGCCCGGGGCAGCTGCCCCTCCCACCTACCCCTTGTCCCGGCTTATTGGAAAAGTAAAAATGTCTGTTGCATAAGGTGGGGGAGGGGGGGGGGGGGACAGTGGAATGAACATTCAGATATTTTTTTTTGTCTCCTCCCCCCACAGGCTCTGGAAAGCGTTTACCATCCGGATTACATTGGCTGCATAGAGAACGAGCAGCCGCTGCTCATCCTGGTCCAGTGGGTCCCAGAACTGGCTCCCAGGGACCTCCAGGTTTTGGTGTCCGAGAGGCTGAACCAGATCTGCGACTCCTCCCTGCGGAACCGCATGACGTGCGTCCAGGCCGGCATGGTCAGCCACATCCTGACGGCGCTCGGCAGCGGGAAGGAACTGGACGCCAAATGCGCAGAGAACCTGATCCGCCTCCTGCAGGTGCTGGGCCGCCTGTCCATCAGACCCACCGAGCTCCGGGAACTCCTCAAACTGCTCCGGACCGAGGGCAGCGGCGCCCACCCCTACGCCACGCAGGTCATCCGGGCGCTGTCCGCCATGGCCAGGAGGGACGGGCCGGAGAGGGCGCTGCAGTATTTCGATTTGACCCCCAGCATGTCCGGGATCATGGTGCCCACCATGCAGAAGTGGCCCGGCACCGGCTTCGCCTTCCACGCCTGGGGTGTGTCTGAACGATGATTTCAGGGAGGAGCCGATGACGGGGCGGAGACGCAAACAGCTCTACAGGTAACGGATCGACTGATCAGCAGATTGCACAGTTAAAGCCAATCAGAACGCAGTACCGGCCCTTTAAATGTGTTTTTTTTTTTTTTTCTGTTCCTGGAAATATAATATTTCTATGAATTAAAATGTATCAAAAGCAAAATCATTTTTAATTTTGGGGAATGGTTGGGGTCAATCCGTCCAATGGGGAAGGTCGCCTTCACTTCCTGTCCCGAAGAAGCGACTCACACTTGTGTGACTCGTCGTGCGACTTTGGGCCCCAAAGTCGCACGGCAGGCCGCACCCCGTGTTTCCTATCTAGTACCTTTTGATCTCTGCGTGACTTCAAGTCGTTCCTGCACTACTTTGGTCTGACTTTCATGCGACTCGAGGGCCATTGACTTCAATGCAAATCCTCCAAAGTCGATCTTGAATGATGCGACTATGCAGAGAAAATCGTCCTTGGTCAAATCCAAAGTCGCAATGAAAATCGCATTTCAAAATTTTGAAAGTCGCACAAGCGTGAATGGAGCTTTAAACGGTGTGCTTGAGCCTGAAGTCTTATGGATTATACTGGGGGGGGGGGTGTTTAACTACAGGGCATGGGGCCCCTGAGCAAGATTTTGATAGGGGCCCCAGGGAGCTCTCTGTGGCCCCCCAGAAGTGTCGTCTGTGACAATGGGCTCAATTCACCACTAAAGCAGAGGGCATGCAGTATTTAGTCGATCGGACGCATTTTCACAAAGTCCACGTGCGATCCTGGTACTGTCCGTTCGCTATCGCTTTATGTTCGATTTACCGCAAAAGAAGCAAAAACGCTCGAAAAAAATACCGCGTAAAACGGCGCAAAAGTCCATTCACAGAAGGAAAGAAATGAATCAAAGCGGTAATTAAGTAGTGGTCCAGGCAGATAGGTAGTTAAGGATTGTGTGCTGGATTATAACTGGTTGTTAAGGAGCTGGCAGCCGCCGGCCTCCTTGGTAACCAGTAACTGTCATGGTTGTTAAGGAGCAGGAGGCCTCTTATGGTTCGGGGGATGGGGGGTAATGAGGGCGCTCACTCGTTCATATCACCCCCATCCTGCTGGGCTGCATGCTTGGATAAGGGTCTGGCCTGGATGGATTGTGTGCTGGATTTTAACTGGTTAAGGAGCTGGCAGCCGTCTGATTCCTTAGTAACCAGTAACTGTCATGGTTGTTAAGGAGCAGGAGGCCTCTTATGGTTCGGGGGAGGGGGGGTAAGGAGGGTGCTCACTCGTTCATATCACCCCCACCCTGCTGGGCTGCATGCTTGGATAAGGGTCTGGCCTGGATGGATTGTGTGCTAGATTTTAACTGGTTAAGGAGCTGGCAGCCGTCTGATTCCTTAGTAACCAGTAACTGTCATGGTTGTTAAGGAGCAGGAGGCCTCTTATGGTTTGGGGGAGGGGGGTAAGGAGGGTGCTCAATTGTTTTTCTCCCCCACCATCCTGCTGGGCTGCATGCTTGAATAAAGGTCTGGCCTGGATGGATTGTGTGCTGGATTTTAACTGGTTTTTAAGGAGCTAGGAGCCGCCAGTCTCCTTAGTAACCAGAAACTGTCATGGTTGTTAAGAAGCATGAGGCCAATTATGGTTTGGGTGGGGGGGACAGAGTAAGGAGGGTTCTCACTCGCTCCAATCTCCCCTCCCCCATCCTTCTGGGCTGCATGCTTGGATAAGGGTCTGCCCTGGATGGATTGTGTGCTGGATAGTTAACTGGTTGTTAAAGAGCTGGCAGCTGCCGGCCTCCCTAACAACCAGTAACTGTCCTTGTTAATAAGGAGCAGGCGGCCTGGTATGGTGAAAGGGGCGGGGCGGAGGGGGGGCACTTGCTCTTTCCCACTCCTTTCCTGGCCTGCTTGGCTGCATGCTCAGATACGAATCTGGCATGGACGGCGGGGGGCACACTTTTTTTTCCTGACAGCTGATGAGTCATTGGTTGCTAAGGACACAGCAGCCACCCGCTCCTTAGCGACCATGACCATTCCTCATTGTTAAGGGCGCCACCTACCGCCGGCGTTAACATACTGCAAGCTCTCACTATTAAAATACCTCATGGAGTATTTTAGTAGCATTTTTAAATTTTTTTTTAGTGAATTGCAATAACATTTTTGAGAAACGCTACGCGGTATTTTACCGCATTTCTTCAAGTGGTAGACGGTGCTTAGCGAATGAGCCCCATACGCCGCGTTCATCCTAACTAGTTTTTCTTTGTTTTTTGTGTTGTATTTTTGGGGTTTTTTTGTTTAGTTTTTTTCCCAGAGCTACAAATCAGTCCGAATTCATTGTGAAGAACAGCTGGTTCTATTCTATTCTACACTTGAATTTCAGAAGATGGTTCTAGTCTATTTTATTCTTTTCTATTCTCTTTTCTAGTCTGTTCTATTCTGGAAGACAGCTATATTCGTTCTGTTCTATTCTATTTTATTTTTTAAATTCTATTCTTTTTCTATTCTATGCTCTTCTCTTCTATTCTGTTTTATTCTATTCTTTTTGAAATTGAAATTGTTTTTTTTTTTTTTGTTTTCTTTTTTGTTTAATTTTTTTTTCCAGAGCTACAAATTTTGGGTGAGACGTTGGGATTTCTTCCTCCCAGCGTTAGGGGTATACGGGGTTAATTTTCCAGCGGCGGCCGGGCTGTAGTGGAAGTGAGAGCAATAAATCTACAGAGCTAAACAAATTCCCTTTATTGCATACATAGAGATGAGGCGGGGGATGGGACTGGCAATATTCCTGACGCCCTCTACATTGCAGGCTTTGCTCCAACAGCCTCCCCAATGGCGGGGCCCCTCCCACCCCCCAGGGCCCCGTACAAGCCACATGGCGTGCTGAAGACTTCCTAAACAAAAAAACAAAACAAACTTTATAAAAATATTTTTTTTTTTTTTTTACATTTTATAAAAATTTCACCAAATAATCAGATCGAATTGTGAAGAAAGCGGACAGAAGGATCGCCCCGAGCGGCTTTGCTGATCGTCGGATTATTTGTCCAAATCGATATTTCTCGAAAAGCGCAACAGATCAATTTCCTGTCCTGTCAGCTGAATGTGAGAAGGAAGATGGCGCCACCTAATGGCTGTTTGGTGTATTGCGCTTTCACTTTTTTATTTGCTACATTTGTTGCTATCTAAACCGTGTGTCTGTGATTGGTGATCGATTTTATGTAGGTGGTCCTGAGCTGGGTACGCTGCTGGGGGGGGGGGGGGGGGGGGGGCGTTATTGGATGTCTAGGTCAGAGGTCGTGGTTTTAGACTCACCAGATGCGCAATTTCGATTGGTTTTGGATCGATTCGTTAAGTTACTCATTTTTTTTCCTTGCGGTCCTAACGAAATCTGTTTTCGGTTCGTTGATTGATTTTTTCCACCAGTTTCAGATTTTTCCAATGGATTAGAAGCATTCGAATCAAATTTGAATCGAAAATATCGAATCGGGCCGAATTCATTGGGAAGACCAGCTGATTCTTTTTCTATTCTATTTTATTTTATTATTTTCTGTTCTATTTTCTGTTCTATTCCTCTATTCTATTTTTGTTTCTTTTTCGAAATTCAAATTTTGGAAGACCGCTATATTCATTTGTTCTATTTTCTGTTCTATTTTATTTTTTAAATTCTGTTCTTTTTTTATTATATTCTATTATTTTTTCTATTCTATTTGGTTTTATTCTTTTTTTTTTTCGAAATTGAAATTTCAGAAGACAGCTATATTCATTCTGTTCTTTTCTATTCTATTCCTTTTTATTTTTTTTCTTTTCTATTTTCTCTTCTATTCTATTTCTATTTTTCTATTTCTTTCTAGTCTTTTTCTTTTCTATTCTGTTTTGTTCTGTTTTATTTTCTGTTTCCATTTTCTATCCTGTTCTATTTTATTTTCTGTTCTATTTTTCTCTATTTTATTTTCTGTTCCATTCTTCTATCCTGTTCTATTCTATTTTCTATTGTTTTCTATTTTTTTTTTATTATTCTAGTCCTTTGTTTTCTCTATTTTATTCTATTTTCTATTCTCTTCTATTTTACGCTATCCTTTTCTATTCTATTTTCTTCTATTCTATTCTTGTATTTTCTATACTGTTCTGTTTTACTCTGTTCTTTTCTGTTCTATTGTTTTATTCTATTCCTTCTGAAATTTGAATTTCGAAAGATGGCTATATTCTGTTCTATTGTATTCTATTATAATTTTTGCTATTCAATTATTTTCTGTTCTATTCCTTTTTCTCTTCTATTTTATTCTATTCTTTTATTTTCTGTTCTATTTGGGCAATGTTTATTTTTTAAGGCAGATCTTTAGGTTTTAGTTAACTTTAAATAGTTCGTTAGGGCCAAACTGGTTGTACGGAATGCTGACATAGACCGTGGCGCCTTCTCTGGAATGGAGGAATGAGACGTTAGTTGCGTGGAATGCTGACATAGACCGTGGCGCCTTCTCTGGAATGGAGGAATGAGATGTTAGTTGCGTGGAATGCTGACATAGTCGTGGCACCTTCTCCAGAATGGAGGAACAAGGTGATCTGTATGACGTCATTCTGCAGGTAGGGGTGTCCATAGCGGGGTCTCTCATGACGTCATTGTGCAGGTATGGGTGTCCATAGTGGGGTCTCTCATGACATCATTCTGCAGGTATGGGTGTCCATAGTGGGGTCTCTCATGACGTCATTCTGCAGGTATGGGTGTCCATAAAGGGGTCTCTCATGACGTCATTGTGCAGGTATGGGTGTCCATAGAGGGGTCTCTCATGACGTCATTCTGCAGGTATGGGTGTCCATAGAGGGGTCTCTCATGACGTCATTCTGCAGGTATGGGTGTCCATAGAGGGGTCTCTCATGACGTCATTCTGCAGGTATGGGTGTCCATAGAGGGCTCTCTCATGACGTCATTCTGCAGGTATGGGTGTCCATAGAGGGGTCTCTCATGACGTCATTCTGCAGGTATGGGTGTCCATGGAGGGGTCTCTCATGACGTCATTCTGTAGGTATGGGTGTCCATAGAGGGCTCTCTCATGACGTCATTCTGCAGGTATGGGTGTCCATAGAGGGGTCTCTCATGACGTCATTCTGCAGGTATGGGTGTCCATGGAGGGGTCTCTCATGATGTCATTCTGCAGGTATGGGTGTCCATAGAGGGCTCTCTCATGACGTCATTCTGCAGGTATGGGTGTCCATAGAGGGGTCTTTCATGACGTCATTCTGCAGGTATGGGTGTCCATAGAGGGGTCTCTCATGACGTCATTGTGCAGGTATGGGTGTCCATAGAGGGGTCTCTCATGACGTCATTCTGCAGGTATGGGTGTCCATGGAGGGGTCTCTCATGACGTCATTCTGCAGGTATGGGTGTCCATAGAGGGCTCTCTCATGACGTCATTCTGCAGGTATGGGTGTCCATAGTGGGGTCTCTCATGACGTCATTCTGCAGGTATGGGTGTCCATAGTGGGGTCTTTCATGACGTCATTCTGCAGGTATGGGTGTCCATAGAGGGGTCTCTCATGACGTCATTCTGCAGGTATGGGTGTCCATAGAGGGGTCTCTCATGACGTCATTCTGCAGGTATGGGTGTCCATAGTGGGGTCTCTCATGACGTCATTCTGCAGGTATGGGTGTCCATAGAGGGGTCTCTCATGACGTCATTCTGCAGGTATGGGTGTCCATAGAGGGGTCTCTCATGACGTCATTCTGCAGGTATGGGGGTGTCCATAGTGGGGTCTCTCATGACGTCATTGTGCAGGTATGGGTGTCCATAGTGGGGTCTCTCATGACGTCTGCTTATGTTTTAGTTTTTTCGCAGCCAGCGGTACCGGCTTTGAGGCGTTCTTCACCGCGGGAGGGATGCTGGTGGTGGCGGTTTGTACCAAGAAGGAGTACATGACGGTGGCCGTCCCAGAATTACACTTCAATGACTCCATGTGGGTAAGTGTCCACCGATCTGCTGCGGGGGGGCTGACCGGAGTCCTCAGGCTGGTGACCACACGTGGTACAATGTGATTGTACAATTCCAGTGAAGGATCTATCTAATTGGAGTATGTACCGACGCTTCTCATCAGGGGTGCAGGCTGGGTATGTGGGGGAACGCAGTTCTGGAGTAATGGATCTATGTAATGGCAAGAGCTGGTGGGGTGTGCTGGAGGGTCTATTGTTGCTGGGGAGGTTTGTAATCATGGGTGTGGGATCTATAGCTGCAGGGGGGGTCTTGTTGCTTAGAGGGATCTAATATGGAAGGAGGGGATCTCTTGTTGCTGGGGGGGGTACTGTTGATGGGGTGGATCTATTGTTATTGGATGGGATCTACTGTTGCCAGGGATCTACTGTTGCTGGGGAGGTTTGTTGTTATTGGTGTTGGTTCTTTAGCTGCTGGGGGGGGGTCTTGTTGTTTGGAGGGATCTAATATTGAAGAGGGGATCTATTGTTGCTAGCAGGGGTGGTCTCCCCCGTCCCCCCGGTTCTCCCCCGTCCCCCCCCGGTTCTCCCCCGTCCCCCCGGTTCTCCCCCGTCTCCCCTGTTGTCCCCCTGTCCCCCCTGTCTCCCCTGTCCCCCGGTCTCCCCCGTCCCCCGTTCTCCCCCGTCCCCCCGGTCGCCTGTTCTCCCCTGTTCTCTTCTGCCGCCCTCTCTCTCCCCGTCGCCCGCTCTCCCCCGTCCCCCCCGTCCCCCCGGTTCTCCCCCGTCTCCCCTGTTGTCCCCCTGTCTCCCCTGTCTCCCCCGTCCCCCGTTCTCCCCCGTCCCCCCGGTTGCCCGTTCTCCCCTGTTCTCTTCTGCCGCCGCCCGCTCTCCCCCATCGCCCGTTCTCCAGCGTTCTCCCCCGTCCCCCCCGGTCGCCCGTTTCTCCCTGTTCTCTTCTGCCGCCCTCTCTCCCCCGTCGCCCGCTCTCCCCCGTTCTCCCCGTCGCCCGTTCTCCCCTGTCCCCCCGCTCTCCCTCTCTCGCCCGCTCTCCCCCGTTCTCCCCTCTCACCCGCTCTCCTCTCTCGCCCGCTCTCCCCCGTTCTCCCCTGTCCCCCGCTCTCCTCTCTCGCCCGCTCTCCCCCGTTCTCCCCGGTTCTCCCCCGTCCCCCGGTCTCCCCAGTTGTCCCCCGTCGCCCGTTCTCTCCCGTTGTCCCCCGTCGCCCGTTCTCTCCCGTTGTCCCCCCCGTCGCCCGTTCTCTCCCGTTGTCCCCCGTCTCCCGTTCTCTCCCGTTGTCCCCCGTCGCCCGTTCTCTCCCGTTCTCCCCCGTCCTCTTCTGCTGCCCGCTCTCCCCTGTCGCCCCGTTCTCCCCCGTTCTCCCCCGTCGCCCGTTCTCCCCCGTCGCCCGTTCTCCCCTGTCGCCCGTTCTCCCCTGTCGCCCGTTCTCCCCTGTCCCCCGCTCTCCTCTCTCGCCCGCTCTCCCCCCTCGCCCGCTCTCCCCCGTTCTCCCCTCTCACCCGCTCCCCTCTCTCGCCCTCTCCCCCCCGTTCTCCCCTGTTCCCCGCTCTCCTCTCTCGCCCGCTCTCCCCCGTTCTCCCCGGTTCTCCCCCGTCCCCCGGTCTCCCCAGTTCTCCCCCGTCGCCCGTTCTCTCCCGTTCTCCCCCGTCGCCCGTTCTCTCCCGTTCTCCCCCGTCCTCCCCCGTCCTCTTCTGCCGCCCGCTCTCCCCTGTCGCCCCGTTCTCCCCCTGTCGCCCCGTTCTCCCCGTTCTCCCCCGTCGCCCGTTCTCCCCTGTCCCCCGCTCTCCTCTCTCGCCCGCTCTCCCCCGTTCTCCCCTCTCACCCGCTCTCCTCTGTCGCCCAGCACTGTGTGGATGTCGTTCACATCGCGGGGCGCCGCCCCTTCGGCCAGAACATGGTGAACATCTACGCCGACGGGCAGCTCCGGAAGGTGGCGCAACTTCGCTTCCCGTCACTCAATGAGGTGAGAACGATGGAGGACCAACCAATGTGTGGGGTACAAGGGGCGGGGTCTGCCGGCCTGTCATGGCCGCTCACTGCACTTCATTCCATGAGGAGTCCCCAAAACAATGAAAACCTTCAGAAGACCCCAATAAATCCCTCGTGTTACCATCATTGGTACATGGCATTATGAGGGGTTCCCACCATCCCTGTGCTGAGTTCCCGGGTCTGTACACCCGCTGTGCCCATTATGAGGGGTTCCCGCCATCCCTGTGCTGAGTTCCCGGGTCGGTACACCCGCAGTGCCCATTATGAGGGGTTCCCACCATCCCTGTGCTGAGTTCCCGGGTCGGTACACCTGCAGTGCCCATTATGAGGGGTTCCCACCATCCCTGTGCTGAGTTCCCGGGTCAGTACACCTGCTGTGCCCGTTATGAGGGGTTCTCACCATCCCTGTGCTAAGTTCCCGGGTCTGTACACCTGCTGTGCCCATTATGAGGGGTTCCCACCATCCCTGTGCTGAGTTCCTGGGTCTGTACGCCCGCCGTGCCCATTATGAGGGGTTCCCACCATCCCTGTGCTGAGTTCTCGGGTCTGTACGCCCGCCGTGCCCATTATGAGGGGTTCCCACCATCCCTGTGCTGAGTTCCGTGGGTCTGTACACCCGCTGTGCCCATTATGAGGGGTTCCCACCATCCCTGGACTATCCAGGACATAGGAAGTCAGGGGTTTCCTCAGCCAATAGCCTGATATATAACTTTTGTGGAACCGACTTTCACCCGTTCATACAGTAAAAGTCGATGTGAATGGAGATCGAATCCCAATCACATAAATCTCACATTCTTGTCATTTGAAGCCATTCTGACTTCCTGTTATGGGGTGACAACGGTCTCCCAGTCATGATCCCACGTTGTCACCCGGTCACATGACACACATTGGTCATACGTGGTCAGGCCGCTCATACATGTAGAAATGTAACGTTTCCTGTGATATGATGCTACGATTTTTCTCCTGCCGTCACCCATAATCCTCTCTGTTTCTCATTTTGACAGTCTTTCACATCTTGCTGTATCGGGTCAGCCGGTCACCGCACCACCACCACCGTGTCCACCTCTCCATCCCATACTCCGGACCTCACCTTCGCCTCACACTCGGCGCTCAGCCGTTCCCAGTCCTTCCCGGCCACCTCGGGGGGCTACAGCTGGGGGCCGAGCGGCACGCTGAACCCGCGGGAGGGCTTGGTGTCCACCATAGTAGCTGGAACCCAGGACACGGAATGGGGCACGCCTACATCACTGGAGGGCCATCTCGGCACGGTGTCCATCTTCCATGATACCATCCAGCAGGCTCACGTGAAGGCCTTGTACTCGGCTGGTGGGTACCCAGTCTACTCCATGCGTGTTACCGATCCGGGTTCAAATCCGTGAGGGACGCAGGACCTCGTATTCTCTCAGGTTCCAGAAGGTCCAAGCTAGAGCTTTGCCCTCCACCAGCTCATAAGTGTAGGAATTCCTGACGAAGGGAACATTCAGGAGGTATGTATCCTCCATGTCCACAGAGGCCAGAAGGTCTCCCAGGTGGATGGAGGCCAGAAGGTCTCCCAGATGGATGGAGGCCAGAAGGTCTCCCAGATGGATGGAGGCCAGAAGGTCTCCCAGATGGATGGAGGCCAGAAGGTCTCCCAGATGGATGGAGGCCAGAAGGTCTCCCAGATGGATGGAGGCCAGAAGGTCTCCCAGATGGATGGAGGCCAGAAGGTCTCCCAGATGGATGGAGGCCAGAAGGTCTCCCAGATGGATGGAGGCCAGAAGGTCTCCCAGATGGATGGAGGCCAGAAGGTCTCCCAGATGGATGGAGGCCAGAAGGTCTCCCAGATGGATGGAGGCCAGAAGGTCTCCCAGATGGATGGAGGCCAGAAGGTCTCCCAGATGGGCGGGGGCCAGAAGGTCTCCCAGATGGGCGGGGGCCAGAAGGTCTCCCAGATGGGCGGGGGCCAGAAGGTCTCCCAGATGGGCGGGGGCCAGAAGGTCTCCCAGATGGGCGGGGGCCAGAAGGTCTCCCAGATGGGCGGGGGCCAGAAGGTCTCCCTCATGGGCGGGGGCCAGAAGGTCTCCCTCATGGGCGGGGGCCAGAAGGTCTCCCTCATGGGCGGGGGCCAGAAGGTCTCCCTCATGGGCGGGGGCCAGAAGGTCTCCCTCATGGGCGGGGGCCAGAAGGTCTCCCTCATGGGCGGGGGCCAGAAGGTCTCCCTCATGGGCGGGGGCCAGAAGGTCTCCCTCATGGGCGGGGGCCAGAAGGTCTCCCTCATGGCCGGGGGCCAGAAGGTCTCCCTCATGGCCGGGGGCCAGAAGGTCTCCCTCATGGCCGGGGGCCAGAAGGTCTCCCTCATGGCCGGGGGCCAGAAGGTCTCCCTCATGGCCGGGGGTGGAATCTCTAGAATCTTCTGATGTGTCTGTAGAGGTACTTCCTGTTGTGGGGTGACAACGGTCTCCCAGTCATGATCCTATGTTGTCACCCGGTCACATGCTCCTTAGATGGACACACGTTGGTCACACACAGTGTTCCGTGGTCAGGCACTTCTGGGCGACTCAATTCGTTACGAAATTAAAAATTTGGGCATCCGAATTTCCCAATCGCAGTGGTGATGAATTTTAACTAATCTGAAATGAATTATAACGAATAGAATGATCTGAATTCAAAATTTTGAAAACTGAATTTGAATCTGAAATGAAAACATATCGCAATAAATACAGTGAAGTATAAAAGGGAACAAAGATGATAATTCCTATATATAATAGCTTCATAGAATAGAACAGAATACGAAAGAATAGAATAAAACAGAATAGAAGAGAAAATAAAAGAAAAATTGAATAAAATAATACATAAGAGAAATAAAAGGATAGAATAAAAACAATAGAGAAGAAGAGCAAAATAATAGAATGGAATAAAACAGAAGAGTGTGAAAGAGAATAGAATAAAAGAGAATTGAATGTAAAATAATAGAATAAAACAGAATAGAAAATGAAAGGCTAGAATATAAAAGAAATGAAAATAGAATAAAACAGAAGAGAAAATGAAAGGATAGAACAAAAATAGAATATGAAAGAATAGAATCTAAAATAATAGAATAAAACAGAATAGAAAATTAAAGCATAGACCTGAAAAAAGGAATAGAATAGCAAAGGATAAAATAAAACCGATTAGAATAAATGAGATTAGAATAAAACAATAATAAATAAAAATGATAGAATATTAAATAAAAGGATAGAATAGCATCTAAAAGAATAGAACAAATCAATAGAACAGCAAAAAAAAAAAAAAGGGATAGAACAGAAAAGAATGTGGAGGAATAGAATAAAACAGAAACAGAATATAAAATAAAATGATAGATTATAATAAAAGAAAACGGAATAGAATATTAAATAGAATAAAACAGAATAGAAAATGAAAGCATAGAATTGAATAAAATAATAAAATAAAAAAGGAAAAAAAAAATAAAACAGAATAGAAAAAAAACCAATTAGAATGAAACTATAGTAAATAAAAGTAAAAGAATAGCATCTAAAAGGATAGAAAAAAATCAATAGAATAAAAAAAAAAAAAGGGATAGAAACAGAAAAGAATGCGGAATAAAAAAATAAAACAGAACAGATTATAAAATAAAATGACAGAATACAATAAAAAAAAAAAAAAAACCAGAATAGAATATAAAATAATAGAATAAAACAGAATAGAAAATAAAATAAAATGACAGAATACAATAAAAGAAACCGGAATAAAAAAATAAAAAAATAGAATAAAACGGAATAAAAATATTAAATAATAGAATAAAAAAATAGAAAATGAAAGCATAAAAAAAATTGAATAAAAAATAGAATAGAAAAGGATAAAAAAAAACAGAATAGAATGAAAAAATTAAAAAAAACTATAGAAAAAATAAAAGGATAGAATAGCATCTAAAAGAATAGAACAAATCAATAGAAAAAAAAAAAAAAAAAGGGATAGAACAGAAAAAAATGCGGAGGAATAGAATAAAAACAGAACAAAAATAAAAAATAAAATGACAGAATACAATAAAAAAACCGGAATAGAATAAATAATAAAATAATAAAAAAAAAAGAAATAGAATAAAAAATAAAATGACAGAATACAAAAAAAAAAAAAAAAAAATAGAATAAAAAAAAAGAAAAAAAAAAAAAAAAATAAATAAAAAAAAAAAGAAAAAAACAAAATAGAAAATGAAAGCATAGAATTGAATAAAAGAATAGAAAAAAAGAAAAGGATAAAAAAAAACAGAAAAGAATGAAACCGATTAGAATAAAACTATAAAAAATAAAAAAAGGATAGAATAGCATCTAAAAGAATATAACAAATCAAAATAGAATAGCAAAAAAAGGGATAGAACAAAAAAGAATGCGGAGGAATAGAATAAAACAGAACAGAAATAAAATAAAATGAAGAATACAATAAAAAAAAAAAAAATAGAAAAATAAAAAAAAAAAATAAAACAGAATAAAAAATGAAAGCATAGAACTGAATAAAAGAAAAAAAAAAAATAAAAATAAAAAAGGATAAAATAAAACAGAATAGAATGAAAAATTAAAATAAAAGGATAGAATAGCATCTAACAGAATAGAGCAAACCAATAGAATCGAAAATAAAGGGATAGAATAGAAAAAAAAAAATAGAATATAAAAAAAAAATGGAAAAAAAAAAAAAAAAAAAGAAAAAAAAAAAAAAAAAAAAAGAAAAAAAATAGAAAAAAATAAAAAAAAAAAAAAAAAAAAATGAAACAAATATGGTCAAAAAAATTCAAATTTTGATTCGAAAAAAAAAAAAATCCCCCGATATAAAAAGGAATCCGAATATTCGATTATCCAAAAACGAAAAAACATGTCGGGGGCAAAAAAAAACGAAATTGTTAACCTAAACGAATCCAAAATTTACGGTAATTTTTCCGTTGTGCACATCTCTGGATGGAGGCTTGAAGTGATGGAAAAAAAAAAAACCTGGTCTGTCATCTCCATCCATCGCTTCAAGCCTCCATCCAGGAGATCTGCATTGAAAGGTCTAAAAAAAAAAAGATATTCCACATGGAATCCCCCCCAGTCTGTCATCTTCATCCATCGTTTCAAGCCTCCATCCGTGAGATCTGCACTGAAGGTCTAAAAAAATCCGGGTAGATATTCCACATGGAATCCACCCCACCAGGTCTGTCATCTCCATCCATCGCTTCAAGCCTCCATCCGTGAGATCTGCACTGAAGGTCTACATCCGGGTCTAGATATTCCACATGGAATCCACCCCACCAGGTCTGTCATCTCCATCCATGTGGAATATCTAGACCCGGATGTAGACCTTTCAATGCAGACCTCACGGATGGAGGCTTGAAGCGATGGATGAAGATGACAGATCGGATGGGGTGGATTCCATGTGGAATATCTAGACTCAGATGTAGACCTTCATTGCAGATCTCACGGATGGAGGCTTGAAACGATGGATGGAGATGACAGACTGGGGGGATTCCATGTGGAATATCTAGACCTGGATGTAGACCTCCGGTGCAGATGGAATGAATGGAGGCTTGAAATGGATGGATGGAGACAGACCGGACCGGATGGATTCCATGTGGAATATCTAGACCTCCAGTGCAGATGGAATGGATGGAGGCTTGAAGCGATGGATGGAGATGACAGACCGGATGGATTCCATGAGGAATATCTAGACCTCCAGTGCAGATGGAATGGATGGAGGCTTGAAGCGATGGATGGAGATGACAGACCGGGTGGATATCTGGGTCTAGATATTCCACCTGGAATCCACCTGGTCTGTCATCTCCATCCATGTGGAATATCTAGACCCGGATGAAGACCTTCAGTGCAAATCTCACGGATGGAGGCTTGAAGTGATGGATGGAGATGACAGACCAGGTGGGGGGGATTCCATGTGGAATATCTAGACCCAGATGTAATGGATGGAGATGACAGAGCTGGTGGATTCCAGGTGGAATATCTAGACCCAGATGTAGACCTCCGGTGCAGATCTCATGGATGGAGGCTTGAAGTGATGGATGGAGATGACAGTCCGGGTGGATTCCATGTGGACCGTCTGGGCTGAAATGAAGACAATTGGGACCAAGAAGGACCAGATGCCCCCTTTTGACTTGGAAAGCGGTTGAAGTTAGAACCCCTGAAATGGTTCTGCCCCAGGCACTGGGACCCTTATCCTGGATCCAGAACTCCCACCAATGAGATCTGCCGATCTGTGTGGTGACACGACAAACTGTAGGCGGAGTTTGGGGACGAACCTCCAGATGGCTCCACAGGACTTCCTGTGTGCCTCAATGGACACAATAAGATGACATCCCCCTTCAG